TTGACGTTTAGTGGATCAGTCTCATCAGCTTGGAGGTTGGACAGTAGGGTTTTATATAGAAGAAAAAAGCTGGTAAAAAGATAACGTTTTTGTCAAGCGTATTGAAAAGGAAATAGTTTTCAAGATGGTAAAAGTAGTTTTCGGTAAGTTAGGCAATTTGAAAGAACGAATTAGGATGGTTCAGAATGTAGCAGGATCTCCGAGTAGGAGCCAGGATCAGAAGTCTTGTCCACTTCAGGGCACAAACTTCAATCAATGTAAAGGCCCCCTTTGAAGTCAGGCCTCTTATAGCATGTTTGGATAATCATGCTATTCAGGTGAGAGTGTTTTTGGTTAGACTAGTTGCTAGTGAGGCCATTGGTGTTGGAAAACAGGAATTGCTGCTGGAACTAATGGACTGAAAGGTAAAAGTTTTGAATTTAAGATTTTTTAATATGACATTACTCTTCACACTCCACCCTGTTGCGATCCAGTCCTATCTCAGACCATGTAGCCTTCCAGTTAACCTATCTATCAGTTCATACTTGTCTAGCTTTCCATTCTCTTATATTGCTCATTTAAGGTGTCAGCTTCCGAAATTTGTCAGTTTTACCGCCTTGCGGTGGACTTAGCATTTTTGCCCAAACATGCTTAACTTAATCTACCCCACCTTAATTAGTTGTCACATTCCCACACTCTACACCAGTGATGGCTAACCTTGACACCATAAATTGATTCTGGACTACATTTCCCATGATGCTCAGCTAGCTTTTAGAGTCTAAAAGCTAGCTGAGCATCATGGGAGATGTAGAGTCTAAAAGCTAGCTGAGCATCGTGGGAAGTGTAGTCCAAAAACAATTTATGGTGTCAAGGTTAGCCATCACTGCTCTACACACTTAGCCTGTCTAGTCTCCCACCATATTAACCTAATCATCCAACCCTAATGATGTGGTTTTAGGCCAGAGCTAAGAATTATATGTTCTGCATTCTAATGTTCCAAAAATAAACCTTACGCATATTATGGAAACAATTAGATAATGCTCATCAGTCAAGATAGTGCACAGAAATAGCCCAGAAATAGCCCACGCATTACTCATTATATCCGGTCTACATGTGCCATATCAGAGTATTCATCCACTTCCTATACATGTATATAATGTATTCTGTAGTTCTGTATGTTGATATCTCCTCAGTGTTTCTGTATGTCCTGATATTATTCACTATAAACATGCACTGGAGTGCTGTACAGACTCCTCTCTGTCTAAAGATTCTAGTGATGCCTTGTTATATAGAGAAAGGGAACGTAAATCTTTATAAAAGTCAAGTACATTGCTCGCAAACTGTGGCTTTCCTGATTGTAGATTTCCATTATTGGAAATGTATGGGCCAGCTCTACAGTATCAAAGACTCCAAGTTAAGGGCATGTTGTTATTTATGACGTGTGGAATATTTTTGTAAACATGAGAGATTGTCCTAAAGTCCAGGATCTCACTGATATGGATTAAAGCTCAAGGGATCACAAAGACTTTTGGCTGGTTAAGTAGTCATAGTGGTAGGGTAAATCACATGAAAAGGTCTACCCAAGGCAACATGTACCATCAAGTTCTGTGACCTCCACGTTCAATAAAAGTTTTTTTTGTGTTGGTTTTAGACATGCAGAGTTTATTGTGAGTCTATGCCCTCTGTAGGAATCTTTAAGTTTGCAAGGCAAGTTTTAGATGCAAAGAGCTTGGTGATACATGTTTGGACAAACCTTTACATGTGACTTACCACTACTGGAAGTATTGATTGAGCACTTCTGAATGAGTGCTCAATCACTAGGGACTTTAAGGATGATTCTATCCATTGAAATGTTTCCTTGATGAGTTTTTATTTAAATTTCAATTGATATACCACCGATTTTATTGTGTATATTTGTCCAAGAATTATACTTTTTTATTTTTATTTTGGTGAGAGCTTTTTCTGTGCTTCTCCATTTGCATTGCGCTGTTTGTCTCCAGCTCTGCGATAAGATGTGTTATAAGTGGTAACTTTGTATCTTGAAGAATAGATAGCTGATGGTGTATACTTTGGTTGAAGTTCATACTGTGTATGTGTAGATCATATTCTATATTAATATAAATAGTGGGTTGCATTGGTCATAAAAATAAATCATCTTCTTCATCACTTTTTTTATTTTAACACTTACTTGTTATTAGTTTAAAAAATAGTACTCACTTGTAAATGTCCATTTATGTATTTGATATTTCTGGTATTTGTGATTCACCTGCCAGGATCTATGTATGCTTTGACTATTTCTTCTTGTGATTTTGGTATCACTTGCCCAAATAGATAATGAGTTTTGGGCCTAGTTGGCCAACAGCAGTTTATTGCTGTTTTTTTAATTAGTTCTGCCTTCATATGTTATAAAAGATCAGTGTTGTGCCTATAATTATTTTAGCTGTGTAGTTGATTATCTTTTGCACTAACCCGAGTTACTGTGCTTCCATTCTAGAAAAACAATAAGGAGTCGCAACACCAAAATAAATGTCAGAAAGCTTTATTCCACCATGTGTGGAACCAGCAACGTTTCAACCCGACTTCAGGGTCTTAGTCAAACTTTTGGAAGGAGACCTTGAAAATTTTACCCAAATTTCTAGTGGAGTGCTGGGCCTGCCTATTGTTTTGTACTTGTACTTCCAGTCTAGTCACACCCCTTTTGAATTACCTCTTTTCTACTCAGTTTGCTTCCCCCCTTTTCTCCTTGAGTTGATTGTTGTTTCTCCTACCTGAGTTATCTGTCTTGTATTGGCTTTCTGTCTTCTCTATTACTTGAAATGCACAATATTTACCCTTCTTACTTAAATTGTCCTCTCATTTTTCTCTCACACTCACTGACATTTTCTTAAATACACATCACAGAAAAATGAAGAGGTCCTCATAACTGCATTTCATTATAATGGAGAATATTTCATCTCAACTCCTGAAGTAACCCAAATTATGTAAATATCATTCTAACTCTAGTTGTCTGGTATAAGAACATATAACATAAAACATGTTTTCTATCAGGGGTGACAAAAACTAGGCAGAATTCACAAATAATGTCTGATTTGTGAAGCTGATTTCATCTCTTCATTTGGCTAATAAAAAGGACAAATCTAAAAATATTTAGAGATTTTTTTCGGGAAAAGTATTGAAGTGTTGTGTTTTGAAAAGTTGTTTAAAGTTCTCAAAATGTGGCTATTGATACCATGAAAATAAATGGGACCATCAAATCTATTCTATTTGTGTTTTTAACGCCTTTATTTACAACTTTGTAGCACATTTTGGAACATGACACTTTGATAAATCCCTCTTTTTCTTGTTAACATCTTTATGCTATTGAAATGCACTATACACTTTTGTGTTGAACTTTTAAATTACAAAAAATAAAGACCCACTCACAAAACAGGGTTAAGGATTGAGAGCATAGGTAAGTATAAATTCTTACCTACTAGCCTCCAAACGCCACCGAAGAATTTATCATGTCACCTTGGAGGGTCCTTGCAAAAACCAAAACACTCCATGAGTGACATTGCTGCTTTCAAAAAAGGTATTGCTAATTTATCTGTGATTATATCAGTAAAAATCTGCAAATGGTTGTACCATATAGTGTTATTTGTCAAAAATATAAAATTTTATGACAAAATAGCCAAGCAGTCATATTTTGGAAGAGGCCCCAATGATCGTAGTATCCCTAGAAATATCCCAGTGGGCCAGTGCAGGCCTGGAGAGCACTAACTGAAGAACTGCTGGGCTAGCAGGGACCAGATAACATAACCCTACTCCCTTTTCCAGCATTCGTTTTACGATTGCTGCCTCTTGAATTCTAAATTCCAGCCATCAATCTTTCATTCTATTGATGTCTTTCAGATCCTGTAATATGGTTGTGTTTCTTGACAATTAAAAGAAAAATTGTTGAGGTGTGCTAAAATTTCTAAAAGTGCATTTCTGTTATCTCCGTTCTCTGTGTTTTTCAAGCATACCGTGGCAGAAAATTAAAAAAAATTAAAAATGTGCAAATAGTAGTGCAGACTGTATTCTAAATTTGTGCAAACACTAACACAATTCACACATTCCTAGTAGATATGTGTATATAAACTGTTTTTTTTTTTTTTAAATTCTTTATTTTTCTTTGTGCATTTGATTATATAACAGAGTAGACTGTAGCGCCACAACAGCGGTTACAGGCGTTTCAACGGTGTACATTGTTATGGCAAGAATATACCGCACATTTTTTTTTTTTTTTTAGATAAAACAGGCTAGGAACATGCTTACATTTTTAACGTATTAAGTACAAGCTAGTTTTGCTCGTCTATTGTGTTAGGTCACGGTGGGGTCATCCAGCTGAAGACAATAAACGTACTATGATTCTAACATATATAGAAGTGATTAGAGTCGATTAAACATTGCTAAAGACATCCGTCAGTGCCCCATCAGCTTGGATAAGCAGTTTCACGGTTAGACATAAGCATGGCATGGAGATAATGGCAGGATTTTGTGTGCTGTGTGGGCAACATAGATGCATTATAGAGGTAGCACACGGCTGACCAATTAAGCGCAGGCAAAAGGGGTAACCACTAGTTGCAAGGTTTGATAACGAGAAAATACCCTTAGCTAGGCTAATTAAGTGTGAGAAAAATAATAAAAGTAGAATAGGCCTGTATTATGTAGCATGTAGGTAGACAGTAAGCTGCCTATAAGATTGACAGGACACTTAAGGAGATGTGTATTCAAACGGTTCTGCCTTGCCTTACAGTAGATATTCATCTCAAGCTAGGTATATGCTACGTAAACTTAATCCAGACCAACAATTCTGCTATGCAAACACATTTTACAAGGGTTAAATAAGCATATATAGCGATGTGCATTAAATCAAAACATCATGGGTATGTGGCTGTAAGCAGACCCACGAGAGAGTGTCCGTACAATACCGCTTGGTAAAGTAGGCTGAAGGGCTTGAATAGTCCTAGTCCATATGGTTGGCAGGTTTCAATGTGCTGTCAGTGGTGGTTCGGTGAAGGAAGCTGGGTCCAAGTTATGCAGCCCGGCTGCGGCCTCTGACTCTCTTCATCAGTGGACTGTCTTGTGCAGGTGGGAGAGGTTGCTTGCTCCTCCGCTTTGTTCCCGCTTTCGCCATTCTCACCGCTGCTGGTCTCGGTGTGGTCAGCAGATATAGCCCTGGAGTATGTCATATGGGTGGTCTCCTCTGCGATCGGCTTCATTGTGCTGGCAGTTCACGCACGTGGCTTTCATGCGGCAGCCATCTTGAGGGGCACTGCTCAGTAAGTGTACCTCGGCGGGGTGGTTCTTTTAGGCCTGGTTTGGCACACCGGTGGATGTCTGTGTAGACCGGGATGACCCCCCCAGTCCGGGGGGGGGGGGAAGCCAGCCGGCGGTTGGAGACCCGGGAGAGCGATAAACTGTTCTTTTAAACAGCTGATAGAGACCACTTGGTGCTTCTGCATATAAAAAACCATATATGCCAGTCTACAGCTCCAGAGTATACTTGTTATGTTACTGAGTTAACAGTAGCTGAGTATAACAGTAGCTGAGTATAAAATCCCATATTCTCCCCTCCTTCCTGCATCATGCTGCCATTGTTTGTGAATTCTGACTCTAGATTCTGCAAACACATTTCAAAGACTAGCTAATGTGTTTACTGCATGATTCACCAATATAACAATACAGTCACATGTTCTGATAGCATTGTACTGACGCAGGTTGAAGCAATACATATTTAAAGGGACACTCCACTGCCCAAATACAAAATAAATAAAAATCACTGTTTAGTAGATATACCACAAATGAAAACTTGGATGCATTTAATTCAGGGCTTGACAAATCCCAGGCGCCAAGTTGCCATGGCGACTAAGAATTTTGCCCTAGCGCCTTGAATTTATCAGTCCATTCCCTCCTCCTGTTTCAATCCCCTTGCAGCCCTCTGTTCGCCCGTGCACCAGGAGGAAGTGAAGGGAACTCTAATTACTTCCTTCCCGCGCTGAGGCCGCGCAGGTAAACCGCAAGCTGGCAGGACACTTGGTAAAATTGACTCTGCTTGCAGCTCACCCCTATTCTGCAATCTTTAGCTCAGCCAATCCAATGCATTCCTATAGGATAGCATTGGGAGCTATTGAGCATGTGCAGCAAAATGCTGCACCAATCAGCATCTCCTTGTAGAGATGCATTAAATCAATGCATCTCTATGGGGAACTTTCAGCGCCTCCATGCAGATAGGATACACCTTAGTGGCCATTTGAGTGACTGCAACTAGAGGTGTTACTAGGCAGCAATGTAAACACTGCCTTTTCTATGAAAAGGCAGTGTTTACATCAAAAAGCCTACAGGGACAGGCAATAGACACCAGAGCCACTACATTAAGCTGTTGTGGTTCTGGTGACTATAGTGTTCCTTTAAGAATTGTATTTTTGTCGTTGGAGAGAAAACTGGCTCCTAACTTTTTTTAGCTGGTTCCTAGATTCAAAGCAAATTTGTCAAGCCTTGGTTTAAGTATATATTTTTCCATTGGGGATATACCTAAAAACACCTTACAAAAACTGCAGTTCTCTTGTCTGCTGTTCCCTGTGCAAGCTCTCCCTTTCTAACCGAGCCCAGACTTTCTGTGGCTGTTTAGTCACAGACTTCCCAATGAGAAGTCTTTGTAAGTCAGGTGCTCTGGGTAATTGCTGCCTCTTGAGGCCAGCTGCATCGAGCTATCTGTCTGCATGAAAGCCGAGAGGTTGTATCCATGTTAATTTATAAAAGTGTCAATTTCTATTGAAATCTGCACTTTTTTGCAAAATGAAAAAAGAGGACACTCTTTGCACATTAAGCTTTTCAGCAAGCTAAAGATGTTTAAGGGTCTGGCGTGTCCCTTTAAGTATAATCTGATGACGTTAGAATCAGTAGCATTAATATCCGGTGTTCTATTGCAGACATGCACAACCCTTATAGTCCAATATGTATAATATACTGCATAAGACACTTCTTCAGATATCATAGACTTTCAACCCGAGGTCATGTTGCCCTAACACAGAGCTAGGCAACCACACAGCACTCCAGATGTTCTGGACTACATCTCCCATAATGCTCTTCTAGCCACAATGCCGACAAAGCAAAAGGAGAACTACATCACTATGTTGGATCTTGATTTTTTCCTTTTTAAAAGGCTGGTGAGATAGCTCAGTGGGCTAATGCATCATCATTATAATTTATTCAACCAATTCAACCCTTGGGTGTTGCAGGTTCAATTCTGAGGCAGATAAAATAAGTACCGTTAAATAGGGCAATAGTAACATCCCCTGGATGTTAGGCAAAAATAGCATTCCCAGGACATACTTGGAAACCAGCAAATATCTGAATGTACTTTTCCTGATTAAACACTTTGTTGTTATTATTAAATACAATTTTATTTTTCAATCTAGTTATTTTCCATTTAATTTTCTATTGAATTGACACATGTCTCATCTCATGTTCCTTTATTACCCTCTATTTGGATCAACTGTAATATGTTGTTATATCAATATTTTACCCTTAATAATAAAGACATTTCAATCAGGCCTCCATCATGGCATGGAGGACCATACTTTGCTCAGGAGCCCTGTTGAATACCAAAGCCTACTGGGGCTCTTCAGCAATAAGCTGTCTGATTTAGGAGCTAATTTGGGAAATATCTCTGCAAACTGGATTGCATTTACCACCCACACCACATCAGGTCTCTGACCAGAGGATAACAGCTTAGACCACTCTCTCTTTCAGCTTCACTGCCTTCTAGTGCACATTCTGAGCCATACTGGTGTAAAAGGAGCCAGCGACATGCACCGGCCTGCTCTCCACTGGACCCCGTGGATGCCTTCCTAGTGCACCCAAAAAATATGAAAACAGGATTGTTGCTGGATTATTAATATATTCCTTTTTTTTTTGTGTGCGTGTAACAGTTTGTCAGCCTTTGTGTGTGTGTGTGTGTGTCTGTGTATTAGTGTCTGTTTGTAATTGTGTATTTGAGTTGCACATGCTCAAGGAAAGGTTATCTTACACATTGGTGCACCAAAGGAGGTGCGGATTCCTAGCAATTCATCTGAACATAGAAGATTTGTGCACACTAAGCTATATCCAAAAGGCAGAGTTTATTTCAGGAAGTGGTAGTGCAACGTTAAAGACTCAGGCTCTCAGCCAAAACGTTGGTGCACCACTTCTTGAAGTAAACTTTGACTTTTGGATATTACTTCATGTGCCTAAGTCTTCTACGTACATCTGAGTGTGTGTCAATGTACTACTGAGAATGTGTGTAAATTGATATGTGTGTCCGGCAGTGTGCATTTGTGTCATTCTATGGGTGTGTGTTTCTATATGTCTTTGGGGACAAGTTTATGTAACTGAAGGTGTGTAACTGTGTTTGTGAAAGTACACCTGTTTGTGTTTATGTCTGGGAATGTGTGTCTGTATGTGAATTTCTGTATGTGTGCATATGTACCGGAAAATGTTTTTGTACGTGTCTCTGTAGTTTCTAATGGCAGCGCTAATGAAAATAAGGTTTTTAGTACCACTGTACCAACATCGAGGAAAAACTGTTTGTTGAGTTCTACACAAATATGTATTTAAAACCTTTTACACTTGAATTGCTTTGAAAGAAAGTCTTGTGTGGGTTTTTATTTGCTCTTGTATTACACACTAATACTACTTTCATATTGGGTCTAATCATTGTGCAGGCTTTTATAAGGAACTTTTATATATCGATATATATTTGCTTATGGGTTTAATATGAATCAATATGGGTGTATAAAGGTTTAAAAACACATTGAAAAAATACACAAATTATATGTTTGCCTTTATGTTGGCAGGTGAAAATTTTACAACAAATCTCTTTTTTATTTTATTTTACATTTACAGTTTTGGAGAGCATGTAGGTAATTTTTGCTTGGCCTGTTTGTACAGCGTGCCTGTTTTTTTTTTTTTATCTTCTCAAAGTATAAGATTGTGTTAGTTATGGCTCTTTATAAAAGCTACAGTCATTTTGTTTTAAAGATACCATAGGTAGTAATAAAACTGAGGAGTCCTTAGGGTAGATGCTGCTTCAGACAAACATTTTAGTATGTGTAGAAATATTTATTCCGTGGCTGGTGTTTCATTGTTTGACAGTAGGTGTCATGGGCACTCTAACTGTGCCAGCCTCTCATCTCATCCAGTGCACACAATGGAGCTATGCCCTTCTTGCAGGATATGGGTCAGTGCCCCTGTCATTCATTCCTCCAGATACATAGATTCCATGGCTTTTTTGTTTTACATCTCATCAGGATTTTCTCCACAGGATGCCGATGCAGAATATAAAAGTTATACAACATGGACCTTGGTTTAACAGAAGGAAGTTTGGCCATAAAACTTGTCTGCTGTGCAGCACAATATTTCTGTGTTTGATTTGCAAATTTGGTTGAGGCACGCAGTTTATGGGGTTAAGGATTAGATTTACTACTTGGGTAATTCAATAAACCCAGAATTTACTAAATAATTGGAGAATTTACAACATAATTGCACTTTTTTGGGCAAAATTATCTGTCTGAGATTTACTCAACGGAAATAACATATAATTACATATAAGGAATATTATTCTACAAAGGTGTCTACGAAATTAAAACAGAAAGATCTCATTCCTACAATAAAAAAGGCATAATCACATTAGATTCATTTGAAGTTAAAGCTAGCATCATTGGCAGTGTAAAATTATTTATCCAAATAACATATTAATAAATTTAGATTAAAAAATGAATCAAATTTATATTCTGATTTATGTTTATTTTCGGGGGAATGTCTCCATTTTATAACTGTGTACCTTGCTTTTTTAACAGATTTTTGTGTCCTGCTGTTAATAGGCGCTCAAGTTGGTTTAAAAACAATGTGACAGTTGTGATGTAACCCGAAAGACTAACAGGGTTATTCACTAAAGTGAGAATTGTCAGGAAGTCAAAGAATTTAGGGTCAAAATAGCTAAATTTTAAAATTTCTCCTTGTCAGCTATGCTTGCAGTTTGGCTATGTTACGAGACTATCCTAACTAAGCGGAAACGACTTATAATCACATTGCTGTGGCTCTTACCTTCCCCTAGTAGACACTACCAGACCAAGTGCCCTGAAATCCAACCACCTGGTAACCTATTTATGCATGATAGGTCCTCTCGAGCAGCCTAT